CACTCCCCATTGCCCTGAAGAGAAGTCTCTGGTGCTGCAGGTAAACACAGTTGGCAGAACCGAGCCTCTAAGAGATTTGAGAAATGCTGAAGCTGGTGGGAAAACAAACGTGAGCAGGGCCTCCTCACCCAGGAAGAGCCTGTAGCAGCCCCGAACGTCAGGACATGGAGTGGACGTGGGGTGAAGGCAGCTGCTTCTCACTGCACAGTTCAACAGCCGTTATTCCCAACTAACAGCCTGTCTGCTAGAAACATAAAAGTCTGGATGCACTACAGGATGATTAGGAAATAATTCAGGCCTTCAGCTAAATCTCTCAGCAAGGAAAACAGAATGGAGAAAAGGGGGCCTTTTCTTTATCTGTTGAAGAGCTTAGCCCTTCTGGCAGTTCTGCACCCTTTTCCCATAGTTGCCTGACAACATTTACTCCTCCTTCCATGCTGATATTCCTAGTACGCACACAAAACACACACACACACAGACACCCCTCCAAACCCACTGCAGTTAAATGTGGCAGAAAGTGAAAGTGTGAAAGTGAAAGTCGCTCAGTCATGTCTGACTCTTTGTGATCCCGTGGACTATACAGTCCATGGAATTCTCCAGGCCAGAATGCTGGAGTGGGTAGCCGTTCCCTTCTCCAGGGGACCTTCCCAACCCAGGGATCAAACCCAGGTCTCCCGCACTACAGGGGGATTCTTCACCAGTTGCGCCACCAGGGACACCCTAAATGTGGCAGATATTTTGCCAAATTCTATTTCCTCTTGAAAAATTATGAATATCAGTTGGAATGCTTAATGGTTCCATTTCAGACAAGAGGCAGGTTTTACATATTCAAATCCATAATGACTCACACTCTAACACAACGTGAAAAACAAAATTCTACACCAAGAACAATCTTCCCGAGAGCCGATTCTTAAAATAATTAGGGTCAGAACATTAGATGAGTCATGACAGGTGACCAGCCAGGGAAAAATTCACCTTGCTCGTGGCCTGAGGTCATCAACTCTGTCTGCTCGTTACTAATTAGTCTTCCAGAAATACTCCCTGTCCTGTTTTTCTGCAGACAGAATAATTTCAGTGAGTGGATCTTAGGAAATTAGAAGTTATCCATTTAAATGTCAATTCTTGCTCCGCAACCGGAAGTTGAGAACTGAGGTTATTTGCATGTCTTTAAGATTCAGGTTAAAGACTTTAAGACTGCTTAAAGCATCTCTTCCTCTTTTAATAAGAGTAGGTGAGGTTAAAGCTCATTTTGTAGCTGCTTGTAAGTTTATCATCGCACATCTATCTGGGTAGAGTGGTTCCGGGGCCACCATCACAATGGTGGCAGACAAAACGCCTTGATGTGTTAAGTCTACAAGGGTCGGGTATTTCCCGCTGTGTCTGTTAGATTTAAGGCTCCATTCTCCACCTTTTTAAGTGCAAAATGAGATTCAGGCCAGCAGAGTGAAATGGAGCCCTGATCTATGACCCAGATAATTCAGGTCCTTGTTGTAATTAACTATACAAGGAGGCCATTGGACAGACGTCTGAGCCAGTGAGAGTGTCAGGGTTACTGGTCAGCGGGGCCGCTGAGCAGGACCAGCTGGGGAGGAGGGGGGCCTCCCTGGAGCTCGGTAGCTGATTCCCCGCCTCTGCCTCTGCGCCTGCACCAGGCCAGCCTCCCCAGGCTCCAGCATCTTCCCGTTTGGGGCTTCGGGATCAGAATCGAGTTTTGCTCAAATAAACTCTTCACTTTTCTAACATGCTTGTTAATCTTCTAACACTGTCCTCCACCTCAGAAGCCTGCAAAGGGCAGAGCACTCCGGGTGGGGGATGACCCTGCTCACCCTTCTCTGCTCTCGTAGCCCTGGCTCGACTTGGTCCAGAGCAGAAAAACAGGTGAACAACTATGTCCTGACTGCTAACGAGTTCCATCCTTTCTCATCCCTGCCAGGCCTTGGGAAAAAAAAAAAGAAATAGCACCCAATTATCTCTGAGAATGCAAGCAGCAGAAAGGAGCGAGGAGATGAGGAGACGGCCTATATCGTTTGCTTCTACATTGTTTGCAAATAAGTATCCTGGTGACAAACTGCACCTGAATGCCCTCCAGGGGTTGGCAGGTCTCGGGACACCCCCCCACAGGTGGTCTCTCCTGTTCCAGAGTGAGGATGTTGGAAGCCGGGTGTCTGCGTGTGAGGGGTTTCGGTTCAAGCCTTCGTTCAGCAGGCAAAGCATCTTTTTAGATAATGGATGCCTCAGTCAAAGGAGGAAGCAAAATCACGTGCCCAGTTCTCACTGTCACTGAGAACAGCTTGGTGTTACAAACTGAGGTGTGTGCCTAGAACATTCCTTTCTCAGAATCAGCTGACTCAAGCTGATGCTCTGGAGGGGTGCACTCATATCTTGAGAGAGGGGAGTGTACCGAGAACACTCCCTGCCACACCAGTAAACACGGATGCCACAGTCACCAGTGACGGCAGCCCTCCAGTGCGAGCCGGGGAGCCCGAGGCCGCTCGGGAAGGAGAGTATCCAGGAGAAAACCCAGGACGTAGCAGCCAGCAGCCTACAGCCACTCCCCGCAGTCAGCCCCAGGGGGACTCGGGGTGTGAAAACCCCCAGACAAGCTGAGGAGCAGTTAACAACACTCTTTAGGTGTTCAGACTACCTGACCTTTGCTGTAAAACATCTATGTAACCTGGCTCCTCCCTAGCCTGCTCAGAACACTCCTCTCAAGGTCACTTGAGATGCTGTCTCCTCGGCTTGAAGTCCTAAAAGTTTCTGCTGAATAAGACTTAACTCTCAACTTTTAGGTGGGGGGTACTTTTTCAGTTGCCAGTGTTATCGGCATCAATCACTTCATCTTAGCAGACTGCTACCAGCTTTGCAAGAGCAATCTGTCCATGTCCCTCAGCACTGATCAAAATGTTGAGGAAGCTTTTAAGACTCTTTCTCCTAAAGTTCCATTCAAATGCTTCTGGATCCAGCTAAAAGTGTAGGCTGATCTCTGTTATCTGTGTTAGCATCACTTGAGATGGGCTCAAAAATACTGCAAGCCTAATAAATCACTCCAAAGCTAAAGCAAACACTCATTCCAGGGGTCAAGATTCCATTTCCTGGCCTTTCAACCAAGCTCTGTGGGTCAGTCAGGGAAAACCCTGATCCCAAAATCTCAGTGAAGCCAAGACTATTTCAACCCACGTGCTCAGGGACTGCACCTTTCCCAACACAGCTGATAAAAAATGTGTAAGACCTAATCAGAGGGATCCTTTCTGAACACAGGAAAGTCGTCTGCTCTGACTTGGGAAAATGAGATTTGTTGGGGCAACTTGCGAACAGCTATCTCTCTGTCACGCATTGGAATCCTCTGCAGCTGGGAAGGATCTTTTCCCTTCTCCACATGCACTTCAGGTGAATTCAAGCACCCTTCAAACAGAGTGGATGGACTTCCTACAAAGATCTGGAATGGGTGCATGATGGAGAAGGTTACATGTTACCAATTATGACATGTAGTCTCAAAGGGCATTCATACAACATCTGGAGCAAAAATGAAATGATGGGGAAAAAAAGCAAAGAAACTGTTGCAGTAAAAAGTAAAAAAAAGGAATGAGTTTTTTTTTCTTTAACTTCCCTGTGACTCAGACTAAAGAATCCGGCTGCAATGTGGGAGACCGGGGCTCGACCCTGGGTCGGGAAGGTCCCCTGGAGAAGAGAATGACTACCTATTCCAGAATTCTGGCCTGGAGAATTTCATGGATAGAGGAGCCTGGCAGGCCACCGTCCATGGGGTTTCAAAGAGTTGGGACAGGACTTAAAGACTGACTTTTCCTGAGAATAAAGAGGATAAAGAGAAAAGTGAGGAGGCCTGAACACTCCTAGTGTTTTTCACTTTAACTGCATCTAACCCGCGTGCCCGCAGCTAAGTTTGCTTTCCTGTCCCTTAGCCCTGCAGGAGCTACACTTCACGCTGTTTCCTTTGACTCTGTGCTAAATACATCCTGCATCTGGGGTTTACCTTCACAACACCTTCCCCTTGTAGCTACAAATCAGAAAGCAGGCTGCAGAGACAGGGAACTGACAGATTCAATCGCTGGGTTGCTGACACCAGCCAGTGACCCGCTTTGAAACAAACTAAGAGGAAGAAATCAAGATCCTAGGAGCTTTGTTCCTCATCACCGACTCCTGACTGCAAGCCCTCATCTTACATAAGGCCCTAGACTCCTCATGATGCAAGGGGCTGACTCATTGGAAAAGACTGATGCTGGGAAAGATTGAGAGCAGGAGGAGAAGGGGACGACAGAGGATGAGGTGGGTGATGACATCATCAACTCAATGGACATGAGTTTGAGCAAACTTCAGGAGATATTGAAAGACAGGGAAGCCTGGAATGCTAGAGTCCATGGGGTCACCACTGAGAGATTGAACAAGATTCCCCCTGGAGCAGGAAACAGTTCTGGAGGCATGAGCATGCTGTTTTCCCCTCTCAGCCAGTTGAGAATTAAAGCCACCTTTGTATTTCCTCCAAACTCTCTCTCTCTGTATTTTTCATTTGGCTTCGGTGGGCAGAGAAGGCCAATATTTTGGCCAGCAACAAAACTAGTACATCAAAGTGATCACCATGGATGAGTTTACATGGTGAGACTGCTTTGCATATTCTAAAATGCTTAACCAATACCCATTAATTTGATAATAGAAAACAACTTTTAAAAGTAAGAGGAAAGGTTAAATGCAGGCTAACGTCTGAACTGGAGAGGAAGCCCCCAGTGACTGAAGGATAACCTTCTCTGGGTTCCTAACTTTATGTGATGCAAAGAGAAAGCCAGAGCCGATCCCGTGGAAGGATCAATGTTTCTGCAGAAAGTGCCATAAAAACTTGATGACTAAACTCGGAAACAGGGAACACAGGTCCTTCAAAATCAACTGCCAGCATAACCGAGAGAATTGTGCTTTCTTCTCACACTCAGGGAACGTATAGTCTAGACTCCCCTAAAAGTGGGTGCCCAGGCCCCCCGTCTCTTAGTTACTTGCTGCTGCCTCCAGCTTGCGCTTGTGGGGAGGGTCTTCGATGATCCTGTTGAGGTCCCCGCGGTTCCTCAAGTCCATCGGCTTCTCCCAGACGGACAACTGCATAGTCGGGTTGAAGAAGAAAACTCGGTCATCTCCCGTCCAGACCACACACCTGTGCAAATCGAGAACCCTCTCTTAGTCTCCCTCAAAGGCAAGCATAAAAAGACCACCATAGTGTGTGTTCTAAGTTGATCAGTCGGGTCTGATTCTCTGCGATCCCCTGGCCTGTAGCCTGCCAGCCTCCTCTGTCCATGGGGTTCTCCAGGCAGGAAGACTGGAGTGGGTTGCCATGCCCTCCTCCAGGGCACCTTCCTGACCCAGGGATCAAACCCGAGTCTCTTGTGTTTCCTGCATTCGCAGGCAGGTTAGTGTAGGCGTGCATCCAAACCCAAAAAGCCCTTAGGGGCTGAAATCCACACATTCACAAAAGTAACATTTTCACACAGTATGAATAATAATAGCAACAGCTGGCTTTTCAGGGTGATTCTCAGATGTTTCTCATACATTCTCTCATTTGATTCACAGGCAGATAGCAACCTGACCTTCCTTTCACTGGTAAGGACAGTAAAGTTCAGAGAAGTGAGTGGCTTAACGGGGTCCCAGAAGGTCTGAGCTCTTCCCAAAGGCCAGCTCTCCTTTCTGTTGGATTCCCACTCTGGCTCTGGGTCCAAGGACCAGGAAACACAGACCTTGGTTCCCGGTAAACTTCCCTGATTGGACACTCACTGAACAGCAGGGTTCATGGAGCCACACGGAGGCCACAGCCCATCCCTGCCCAGCTGAGAGCCAGCAAACTGGCTGCTGGAATTAGCAACCTCAGCCCTGGCATCCTGCTTTCTTCTCAGAAGAGCAAAGAATTAGCTTTGCATTTTCACATGTAGGAAACTAAAGTCCAAAAGGAATAATAGGCAATTTTAAGACCTCATCTCTGTGCAAGGTTATCAGAGAGAAGGAAAGATTGCAAAGGAAAAATAGTGAAGAAAAGAAAAACAAAGGAAAGGAAGAGCTCCCTTCCCACGGAGTGAGTCTGCAACGTGGGAACGCACACAAGAATTCAGACCTGGCCTCAGTGCGTCCCAACAACACCGCCGGTCAAGGTCCCCAGAGTGGGCTCAGGCTGTGTCCTGTGACCAGTCTCGTGATGGTGCAGAGAAATGAGTTCAGTCCTGCCTCTGGTCTGGGCCTTCCAGAAGGTTCCTCTTCGACTGGGCCTCTCCTCTCCCGGGATCTTAGCTTCCTACAGTGACTTCTGAGGGCCCTGGAAGCACCAGGACTCTCCCCAGGCCCCTCAGAAGCTGCAGGAATGAGCAGGACTAATTCTCGTGGACTGAAACCCTCTGGTCATTGATTTATTGAGGGATTGGGGACACTCCTGGGCACTGCCTGGCCTCCCAACCACCAGCTCCTGCCTTACCATCAGACACACCTGGTCACCTGCCCTTTCTCTGGATCAAGGCAGCACATACCAGTCTGCTTCCCACAGAGAAGATCACTCCCACCCTTGAGCCTCTGTGCTCAGACCAGCCGGCCACTTCCCATGGGCCAGACAGAAGGCTCAGCTCGGGGGCTGAGCCTCCTGCTCTGAAACTCTGTGCAGACCAGGTCCCTTTGTAGAAATGACCTTTAGATGGTCTGTCTGATTTACTCCACAGCCAGGCCAGGTTCATGGGAGTGGTGAGCCAAATAACGACCCCAAAGAGGTCTACATCCCACTCCCAAGAACCTATGAATGTTACCTTACAGGGCAAAAGGGACCTTTCAGGTGTGATTAAGTTCCTGTCTTGAGATGGAGGGAGTAGGCTGGACTGTCCAGGCAGATTCAGTGTCATCAGAAGGGTCCTCATAAGAGGAAGAGGGAGGCTGGGGAGTCAGAGTCAGAGAAGGGGATGGGAGGATGGAAGCAGAAAACAGACAGACAGACACACACGGGGGGCGGTGGGTGGAGACAGACCAGAGGATGCTCCACTCTGGCCTTGATGTTGGAGGAAGGGGCTGCAGATGCCGACGCCTCTAGAAGCTAGAGAGTCTCGAGCAGAGTCTCCCCTGAGCCTCGGGAGGGAACCAGCCGCCTCCTGCGCACCTGGATTCAGCCCCATGGGACACGGGTTGGATTCTGGCCTCCAGAGCTGTGATGTGTGAGTCTCCACAGGTTGATGACCAGTAGACCTCACCCTGACCCCTCCCCGTCCTGGGCGCCAGCATCAGGGTCTGCATCCGGCCAGCCGTGACCTAGACCCCCACGCTGCGTTGGCCCCCGCTGGCCTGGTCATCCGGGTAGAAGGCCATGACCTGCCTTCTCAGTGCATGCACCCTCCAGCTCTAGGCATGCCCTTGACCTTCAGGTGACCTTGAGAGCTGCCCTCACCCTCGGTGATTTCCATTCCATCATCTGTGAGGTGGGGCCTGCAATGGACATTTGTGTTATTCTAACATGTCCATTACTGTGGGAAAATTGAGGCAAACATGAGGATCAGCCTTTACTAGAGACTAGATGACAGGATAGACCGTCATCTAGGCAAACAAGGGCTAGACCTGAGGGGCAGGACTGGCAAGCTGGACAAGGTCCCTGCCCGATGGATGGGTCTGCCCGCTGCCCCCAAGCGGGCCTGGACAGGGGATAGGCGGCCTCTCGCAGCCTGGAGGAAGTTGCCTGCCTGCTGGTGCAGAAGTCGTCTGGCTTAAGAAGCTTTTACTGTGTACAAAGCTGTAGGTAATTATGCTGTTCTGTACATTATGTACAATTCTGCCACTGCGTGAGTTCTTGCACAGAATTCTGGGCCAGCAGGGACCATAAACCCTGCAGGGAGCACAGCCCCTTCCCTCTCAGACGCTCCGGAGGGTGACGGAGTCCCTCCTGCTGGGTCTGGGGGCTGTGCTTCCGGCAACACTCAGCACATGTTCTCAGCACCACAAGTAGCCCACCTGGGTTATCTGGGGACCACGGTGCGGGGGAGGTTTGCCTGGTGTGAATGCAGGCTGTTTGCAGCTTCAGCTAAATCAGAATGCAGGTGATGTCAAGTAAGAAGCCAGCAGACCCGCAACAGCGTAGAGGGTGAAGACTGGTCCTGGGCACCCTCCCACATGGAGGGAATCCATCAGACTTGTCCGGAGCATGCAGACAGCTGGTCACCTGCCCACACACAAGCTTCCAAAGCCTTCTTTGGCCAGGCTGCAGCTGGAAAAATAGCTCCAAGACCAAAGCTCCTGGCGGCAAGTAGGTCAGTTTGTGACAGTCGGGATGATATCTTTTCCCTACGTTTTACTGCACTTGGCCTGAGTGGGAAAGTCTAGATGCATCTTTGATTCCCTGCATCCCTATCTACTTAAAAATGTAAGAGCTGCTGTGTGACCCCGGGACCCCTGACCACACCTGCAGGACAATGGGTCTCTGCGGCCGACACACCTGACAGGCGTGGTCCTTCTGGCAGAAAGCCAGCCTGTGCCCAGCGCCCCTCCCCCACACATGCACACACACACTCGCACATGTGCGCGCACACACACACGCATTCACACATGTGCACGCATGTGTGCATAAATGCACGGGCACACACTCACATGTGTGCACACACATGCATTTACACACACGCATGCACACGCATACATTCACACCTGCACACACACTTGTGCATCAATGCACATGCACACACACGTGCACACGTGCATTCACACACATGCACATACACTTATGCGTTCACACACACAGACACACACGTGTGCGCACACACATGCACACCAGTGATCTGGGCATCGCAGCCCGCCCCCAGTGGCCTCAGCCCCATGGCTGACTGGCCAGTTCCCTCCTCTAGAGTGATGGAGGGCACTTAGGGGACCAGGGCCGTGGAGCCCTGCCTTCCAGGATGGCTCTGCCTCTGTGCGTCTCAGCACCTCAAGCAGTGAACTCACTGCTGTGGACTCAGCGTCCTCATTTATAAAAGCAGATTGGTGATCGCAGGTCTAGTCCCAGATGATTTCTTAAGTCCCTTCTAGCTTTTATTCTATCTTCTGTTCTTTTCTGTTAATTTTCCAGTTTGGTCCAGGACCCCAGGCATGGTCAGGTCAAAGCCCTTCCGTGTGGATCAACCTTATGGACAGGCACACCGTCCCCGGCCCCTGAGCTAGTCCATCCTGGGCTCTGGGTAGCTGTGCTCAGCAGGTCACTACTGCACCTGGAGATTACGCCGCCCTGAGATCACCTCCCCTAGCAGCCCAGTGGGGTCAGGGCGTGGGGCAAATCCACGGTGAGGTGATTGGCCTCCTGCTGAGACCACATCCTCTTAGCACAGAGCTACTCCCCCTTCCCCTCCCCACCCCGCCTTCCTCTGCCTTGAAACCACTCCTCAGTAACTCCAGGCACTGGGAACGCTGTCCAAAGTGCGCTTCTGGGGACCCTGACTCAGGACAGACCCTAAAGGGGATGAAAGACAGAGTAGAGTCTAAACTTCCAAGAGCAAGTGATGAGTTCCCTGAGAAAGTGGGTCAACAAGGATCTGCCCACATGGGAAAGTCTGGGGCGTGTGCATCCACACCCAGGGGACGGGACACTTCAGCCAGAATTACCGAGGAGCCAGCAGCCTTGGTCACAGAGGCAGGGAGGGGGCCGTGCACACTTTGGTGCAGAAGGGGTGCAGAGGTAGCCCCCAGCCAGCACCTCAAATGCTGTGTGAGGCTAGCCTCAGCCAACCCCAGCCTTCCCACTGGCTCTGGGAGGTGTCCTGGGGTCTCAGAGCCGGGGGTCTGTAGGGCCTGGGAAGGTTCTGGTTGACATGTGAGCGGGGGCACCTGGGGAATAAGAAGCAGCTGGAAGCAGGTGAGTGAAGCTGTTGCAGCCCCTGGTGGGGTGGGGGGGCCCTGAGCCGTGCTCCTGGTGGGCAAAGAGTGGAGGAGTTTCAGCCTCCAGCCCTGGTAGCTGCTGACAGCCGTCACCTCCCTGGAGGCTGGCTGAGGGCAGACTGCACACCTGCGTGGCTCTCCTTCCTGAGAAGGGGATACACTCAGATGCAAAGACACATGGACTCCAAATGGTCCCCGTGATGGGAGGCCCCAGTCAGATTCAGGTCATCATCCCACTGAGCTCCTGGGCTCCTTCCGCTCTGGCTCCAAGCCCGGCTGTTA